TGTAAAAAAAAAAAAAAAATCCACAATTTTTGGGTTAAAAAAGTAAACCAAAATCCACATTTTTCCATGATCAAAGTGAAACTGTGTGTGTGTGTGTGTGTGTGTGTGTGTGTGTGTTTGTGCAAGGGCATGTGTGCATGTGTGTAATGGTGTTTCATTTTAATCATGGAAAAATGTGGATCTTTGGGTTACTTTTATAACATGAAAATTGGGAAATTTTTTATCGGAGAAAACCAGAATCCCTGGTGATCTCTCTTTCTGTTTCCTAGTTATGCATAGTAGAAACTAACCCACATATACTGTAGGTAAAGTAGAATTTTAGTCAGGTAAAATTCAAATTACATTTCAGACAGTAATTTAGATAAAATACATCAGTACTGGCAAAAGGCTTGCCTTTATTTCTTTCACTTAATTCCATATTTTAAATCAAGATTGTGACATGTATACTTTTTGTCATTCTAGCAGATCCATTGGTTAGTGTTGTATTGTTCTGGATATCTTCAAGACACAAACATCAATTTGGTATTACAGGCAAATTTACCAACCCAGGTAAAAATCTAATAATTCAATCTTTACTTTTGATGGCAGATATGTAGTGAAGGATCACTAATTTATCATCATTACAATAAGAGCACTTCTAGGATGAAACACTCCATCCAACACCAAATATTTACTTCACATGAAATTCCTAGAACGTATAAAAATTGAAATACAAGCAGCACACACACACAAATATACACACCTGTATTTTTGAATCAATGGCTGCAGATTCACTAAATTTGTTTTTTGGTTGTGGAATAGGAGGGAAAAAAATTCTCATATTACAATACCTATGGGACAAAAAGATGATTTAGTATAGAACACGTGCATATATTTTCTCTTCTATGTTGGGGAATGTTCTTATTTTCCTTTCCTGCGATAAAGAACAGGGGAACTAAAAAAATTGATTAGATTAACTCAAAGTGGAGTGATATTCTTAAATTATCTAAAATTTTGATTGATGTTATTTGTTTTGTTACTGAATAACAAAGTCATGCTTCTAAGTATAATTAGGACCTTTACTCCAGTAAAGAAATACTGGGTCTCATATTCAACTGCCCTGTACTTTTTAAAGTAATTTACATCAGCACAAAGTGGATGAAAATGTTGACAAGTCAGCAAACTTTAGTACTAGTGAAAAAATTAACAATAACCATATAAATAAAACAGACACAATTGCAATTGATTAGGGTTAGTTACATTTACCTTCTGGAGAAAAGAAGCACAAGCAGTGCCACTGTGACTGTTCCAAGTATAAAGATTAAAACTATTATGCTTAAAGACATAGATTCTTCATCATTACCTGAAAAGTAATCACAAATTAGTTACTACTAGCATAGTAAATGGGTTCTTATATAGTGAAGTAAAATAACACTTTGGTGCTTGATAGTAATGAATAATTGTATAAAATCTGTCTTTTTTAAAATCCTTTAACTTGCTACTTTCCAGCAGTGATTCTCAACAAAGGTGCCACAGCATCCTGGGGTGCTAGGAGATCTTTTTAAGGATGCTGTATGTTGCTGTGGAACATTAGAAAAGTTGGGCTGCATCCCCATGAGCGGGAATGTAAGATTTGTGGTACCCCAAAGCCCTTTTGAGGTGCCTCAAAACACATACAAAACATGGTAATCCATTCACCGTGCTGCATATTTGCAGTGCGGCAGCAAACTTAGATACTGGGAAATCCTGGTATCTAAAAAAGCCACACCAAAAAAAAGTGGCACGGCACACCTGGCAGCAGCATGCGCCACGAGTAGCCAGAACATGGCCAGCCAGAGCTGTGCTCCAGCTGCCGGCCAGGCTACAAGCAGTCAGATTACTGTTGTTGCTGCCCCAGGAGGCCCTCAGGATTTCAGGTAAGGCTGCTGATGTCAACCCCTTACCGCACCTGGGGCAATTTGCTGCATGCCAAAGTGCATGTGCAGGGGCATGCCTGGGGACAACTAACAACAGCACAAATATGTGCCGTTGCTACTTGTCCACAGGGAAATTCATGTTCTGGTTTGTGGGCATGCACCTTTAGGGGTGAAAACACATATACAAGGCCACATCCAAACAAGCGTGGACATTTGTTTCCCCTGGGGACAAGAAGCAGTGGCACACCTTGTGCTACTACTGTTTGTCCCTGGGGAACACGCATGCTACGCACCTTGCCAAGTGAACAGGGCCTGCCAACAGGGAAAGCAGTTTGCTGGCAGTTGCTGGAGGCAAGAGGAGGAAGGAGGAGAGAAGCCAGGCACCAGATCCTGCCCAGGAAAGGTAAGTGATCCAGCTGCCTGTATCTGGTTGTGCTGACTGCTTGTTTGGTGTGGTGTGTGCCCTGAGAGGCTGGGAGTGACTGCTGACTGTTGAGTGAGTGTTCATTGCTGGTTGGTCCTGATCGTTGTGGGATTGCTGTCTTCTGTGTGATTGCTGCCTGGGCCTGACAGAAGCCCAACAAAGGGGCTGGTAAATACTCCAGAGGTAAGTACTCCCACCCCTAGGAGGGGACACCGGGTAGTGGGGACTTTCTCCTGAGGTCCCTCCATGCCTCTTTGCCATCTGGACCCCTTGGCCCAAGAGGTCTGCTGCCTTCCTGGGGCCCGCATCCAGGACGTCGCGGAGAGGATGCCCAAGCTCGTCCATCCCTCTGACTACTATCCCATGCTTCTCATCCACATGGGAATGAATGACATGGCCAGGAGTAGTCAACTGGGTCATGAGTGACTACAGGGGGTTGGGGGCTAAAGTAGTTTTTTCTTCTGTGCTCCCTGCTGCAGGCCATGGACCCAAGAGGGAAGGCTGTGTGGAAGAAGTAAACAGATGCCTCCAACAGTGGTGCTACCATGAGGGCTTTGGTTTCTTTGACCACAGCATGCACTTCAGGGAGAGAGGACTTCTGGGACGAGACAGCAACCACCTCATGTGGAGAGGTAAGTCCCTGTTCTCAGCCAGGATGGCTGATCTCCTGAACGGGGCTTTAAAGTGACTGGGAGGTGGGGAAACTCCAAGTGGAGCATGCCTGGGGACTGGCACAAAGGAAAGCTCCCATGTGGAGGACACTAAGATAACTGTTTTTGAAAATGTTAACAGAATGTTTCTCCCATAGCATCTCAGGAAATTGTGGGTGTCAGATGGGGGCCTTAGCTGCCTGTATACCAATGCCAGGAGCATGGGGAACAAGCAGGAAGAGCTAGCCCTCATGCTCTCTCAGCCTTCGCCAAGGTCCCTTGCACCCAGGATGCAGTCCAGCGGTTGCATGAAGAACATAGTCCTGCGGGCAGCCCTGGACTGGAGGTTGTGATCCATGAGGTGGATCCACTGAGTCTGCAGGGCCTTGACCTTTACGTTGCACTGTTGCTCGGACCATTGTTGGCAACGCTTCCACATGCAGGCCGCCATCTCCTCCTGTATATAGACATTTGACTGAGTAGTCTAGCCAAACTGCTGCTGCATGTCTGCCCTACCCCAGACCACTATGAGGTCGCAGATCTTTTGCTTAGTCCAGTAGGGGCTCCAAGCTGATGTCTCTGATGTCAGGGACACTGCCATCACAGGTGCTGCCAAGAGCCTCGGGGCCTCAGGCAGGGACTCTGGGTGTCATCTGGGCTTGCCATATGCCCACAGCAGAGGCATGGTGCCTGGGGGCCAGGCAGGGGAAACACAGGCCCCAGGGGGCAGAGCCAGGGTCTGCAGGACTGCTGTGGCTGGCCCGTGCCCACAGCAGAAAGACATGGTACCCAGGGGCAGGCAACAACTGGGGACATAGGCCCCACAGGTCAGGCCAGGCCTCTGGAGACCAGTCTGAGCCAGCTACAGAGGCATCACAGCCATGTGACCCTGCCCCAGGTACAAGGCTAGCCCCCTGCTGCTGTCACAATTGGGCAGATTTGCTCTCGGTTATATAGATTCATAGATGTTTGGGTCAGAAGGGACCTTAGCAGATCATCGAGTCTGACCCCCTGCCCTGGGCAGGAAACAGCACTGGGGTCAGATGATCCCAGCAAGGTGCATGTCTAGCCTCCTTTAAAGACCCTCAAGGTAGTGGGGAGCACTACCTCCCTTGGAAGTCCATTCCAGATTTTGGCAATCCTTACTGTAAAGAAGTTCTTCCTGATGTCTAACCTAAACCTGCTCTCTGACAGTTTGTGGCTGTTGTTCCTAGTTTCTCCAAAGGGTGCCCTGGTAAACAGAGCATCTCCTATTCCTTCCTGTCCCCTCCCCTGATGAATTTGTAGGAGTCCACAAGATTACCTCTCAGCTTTCTCTTGTGGAGGCCAAAGAGATCCAGGGCCCTCGATCTCTCCTTGTAAGGTTTTGCCTGCAGGCCCCATACCATATAAGTGGCCCTCCTCTGAACCCTTTCAAGGTTGTCCACATCCCTCCTGAAGTGTGGCGCCCAAAACTGGATGCAGTACTCCAACTACAGCTTAACCAATACTGCATAAAGGGGAATTATCACCTCCTTGGACCTGTTAGTGTTTACACATGCACTACTGTGCAGTAGCTAATGTGTAGTTAATCTAGTACAGGGGCAGGCAAAATACAGCCCATAGGCCTGGTTCTGCCTGGCAGGTAATTTCATCTGGCCCATGGATGCCCACTAATTAATTGTACCTCACCCAGCTCTTCTGCCCATGAGGGTGGGAGTGAGATGCCCACATATCATGGGCGACTGGTGCTGTCTGGCTTTAGGGGGGGCACCAGTGGCCTATCACTGGTGCGGGGGGTCCCCCAGCAGCCAATCCCAGAAGTGCCAGCAGCAACCCAGAAATGTCACTGGCAAAACTGGAAATGCCACCAGTGCTTCTCAGGGAGTCACCAGCCAGTGCTCCCCACTCCCCAGCCAGTAAGGGACAATTTCAGGGGGGACACATGTCCCCCTCATCCCTTGCCAATGCATCATCTATTCCACATATACCCACACCCTTGCAACATATCCTATTCTGGCTCGCTCCCACCCTTGTGCATAGAAGGGCCCAGCCCTGCCAGCATGCAGCTTCCAAGCAGGGCTGCTGCTGTCAGTGCTGTAGTTGCTGACGGACCTGCTCAGCTTTTTCAGTGTCCCACTCACTCCAGGCACTGGATAGGGAAGGGGTGGGGGCAGGAAGGGAAGGGAAGCTGCACCTGTGCAGGAAGACAGAGCATGGGACTTGGGCTGGCAGCAGTGCAGAGCCTGTGCTCGGGGTGGCAGGGTGTGGGTTTAAGGGAGGGTGGGGAGGTGTGGGAATCCCCTACTCACTCCCCACCCATGGCACAGAGCCTCCACCAGTGGTGGCAGCAGCACCAAGTGGAGTGGTTGGGGCACTTGTGCCCAGTGCAGGTGCTGCTGCCAGAGGTGTGCAACTCCAGCTACCGCTGCACATGGGGACAAGGAGCAAAGCCTGGCTGGCTGCCTCTATCATGCAGAAGTGGAGGGGAGCCCCAGGCCCTGCTTCACCATGGAGTCCCAGTGCCTGCGTGGCAGAGAGTGGCAAAGGCAGCTGGCTCCATAGTGTGGGGCTTTCCTCCAATGGTGCATGAGTGCAAGAGCTGCATGTGTGCCACATGGAGCCCCACATGATAGAGGTGGGTCAGCTGAACTGTGCTTCTCACCCCCATGTGCAATACTGGCCAGAGCCACACACTGCCAGCAGCAGTGCTTGCACCAGTCATGAGCAATGAGCACCCCAAGTCTGCTGCTCCTGCCACTGGCAGGGGCTGTGTGCTGGGGAGGAAAGTGTGTGGGGTCTCCACTCCCCCCACAAACCTCATACACCCAGATCCTCCCCCCACAACCTCCCCACATATTCACCCCTCCAACATACCCTATTGCCCCCACACACACAGACACACCCGTCACAAACCCACCACACACGCTCCCCACACTTCACCATGTACACACCCCTAACCACACCCCATGTTCACAATACACAAGAGTAAAGCTTTATTTTTTGAGTTATTATTCAATCACCTCTATATACACTGCACAAATACAAATCGTGACAACAATATTTATATAAAAACATTAAAATACATTATAGTAGGTGTTTGATTGTTTTTTTTCTGGTTCCAAGGTAGCAACCCTCCCCTCCCAAAAGAAGTATTTTGAAGGGACAAGGGGAGGGACTTCTGGTGGCAATGGTCAGTGGTTAGGGGTAGGATTTCTGGTCCCCAGATGGCAACCAGGATATAGAGCCACCTGTCAAGCAGCAGGGCTACCCTTGTGGTCCTCAACAGCTCACCAAAACTCATTAAGCAGCCAGCCTTCCAACCAAAATAATTGCCCACACCTGATCTAGTACAGGTACTAGCAAACTGTGCATTAGACTAATTGACTGTGTAGTAAGTCCTGTGCATGAGTAGATGGTGACATTTTACTGCTCATTAAATTAATCTAATGCACAGTAAAGCGTCTCATGTAGATGTGCCCTGTGAGTGCAAGATAGCAAGTGAGATAGATAGGGAATTACTGGGATAAAATTAGGTCAAGAATATGCAGTCTTCCATTCTTACCAAACTCAGTTGTTTCACTCCATTCCCCCCAGTTTTCACTTATGGGACAATTGTTTCCACGGGCTCTGATTTTCAAGAAGTGCTTTTTCTTCACATTAAAATGTTCAAGTCTGTAGGTGTTCTCATTTACCTAGTATCAAAGCAATTATGGGGAAAAAAAAGTACTCAGTCTCTGCATAGACGTTAATAATGTCAACTTTCCATTTTCTAATGCAAGCTTTACATGAAGACCATTTCTCCCTAGTGTAAACAGAGTGTGGATATATGCAGTTTCTTCCAAAGCATGTCCCTCCACTGACTGTTTTCTGTTTGGAAGTTATTTTTCCTCCGTTACAATTTGAAAGGTCACAACTTGCAATTTAATTATTGTGCTCAAAAGAGACTTCTTGGTCCCCTTCCTTGCTAATGGCTCTTTAACAGAAGCTAAAAAGGAAGATGGACTTCTATCAGTTTGTCGTATCAGAGAGTTGCAGGGTTAGGTGATATTGTGAGAAGTAAATTCCTGCATTCTCCTAATACTCCTCACTGTGTTTGTGACACATTATTGCTTTAAGAGTGAGGCACTAAAGTGTCATAATTACTATCCCCTACGTATTGTATAGACCCACAAGATCTATGTTACTCTATAAATCTATAGTACTCTTGCTGGGATTTAATTCCTCTAAGGTCTAGGATGGTTTTCTGAACTGAGGCAAGATATGTAAAGTAAATTGCTTAAAGAAGGCAGGTTATGGCAAATGTTTGTGCCTCAATAGAGCACCAATGCTTTATGTGAGCTCAAGTTTTTCTGTGTCTTTAGTTAAACTATCTTAAAAGAAGGAAACAAACCATGTGTGCCACCTTTTCTTTGACTAAATGCAAGATCAGATAATAATCAAAAGATGTTTTACTGCCTTCTGAAATTAGTGGAAAATTAGATGTGTAGAAAGGTCTCTCTCTACAGTATCAAATGTTTTGAAGCATCTCTATTACCAAATCCACTGATTGTGATCTGGAATTTTTCAGAATTTTGTAAATAAAAGTATATAATAAAAAGCATTAAATATTTAGTTGTCACCTGGACATGAATATTATTTGCACGCTTGTAATAATACTTTACACAGTGATAAGTGTATAGATCATGGCAGCAAAAAACTGTAGATCCTTATGGAAATAGAAGACTTACTATTGTAGGAGAATCATCACTCCTTTCTGCGGGATCAGCCTGACAACAAAAGATATATTTTTACTTTATCATTATTTTATTACCAAGTAATCCTAATAATCCAGCTATTTATTTTATTTTCTTCTTCTTTTACTTGATTGGCCCATGGTAAAATACCAATAACATTTGGCATATTTAAGCTGTGATGATTATCAGGGATCCCAGTTTTCTTTGATTTTAAAAAATCCCCAATTTTCAGTTTAAAAAAAGTAACCCCAAATCCACATTTTGCCATGATCAAAATGAAACACCAATATATACATATCTATATATTAGCAGCATTTCACTGAAATCACAGAAAAATGTGGATTTGGGATTACTTCCTTTTAACCAAAAATTGGGGATTTTTTTTAAATCAGAGAAAACCAGGATCGCAGATGATTATACAGTAAGTGTTATTATAAAAAACTCATTCGTTTACCTCTACTAGAGGTCTCTGAATGCTTGATTTTTCAGTTAGGAGAAACAGTGAAAAAAATAGTTATGATAAACAACTATTCACCATTCTGCACATGTAGAACCTACTCTGTGGGTGCATCTAACACATCATCCTACAGTGACATAGTGATACACTAGGGCTGTGTGAAGTTTCTGGTGCTGATTCAATTCAGAGAAGATTCAGCCTGATTTGGTGGCCAAATCTCCAAATCCAAATTGAATCAGGGGACCAGTTAAAAAGTCGAAATTGATTCAAAGCTCTCCTAATCAATTCAGATAAGATTCAGAGAGCTTCAGTGATTCAGGCAGTCCCTGCCCACCGCAGCAGGGAGCCAGACCCAGACTCTGAGCTGGTAAGTAGGGGGTGGGGAGGAGGGACTGGGGGAGGGGACCATGGGGCCCCTGCCAGGCCACACCCTCTGCCTGCTCCCCCAGCCCTCCCAAGCACCTGCTAATCCCTGACCGCTCCCCTAACGCCTTCCATGGCTGCCCTGCCCGCCCCAGCTCTGGCACTTTAAGAAAAAAAAAAATAAAGAAAAACCCCTCTACTCACTGGCTCCTACAGCAGCCTTGGGGCTTCTGGGGACTTGTGCAGAGCCCCCCATGCAGCACAGTGCAGTGGAGGGCAGCGGGGATCACACCCCCCTTTACCCCACGCTGGGCAGGAGCCAGTGATTCTAGGGTATTTTTTAATTTGTTTAAGGGTTGGAGCTGGGGCGGGCAGGACAGCCATGGGATTGGGCAGGAGTCTTGGGGTTCATGGCAGAGGCCCCCATGCAGTGGGGGGGCAGTGGGGATTACCCCCCCACCTGGCAGCAGCCAGTGAATGGGGCTTTTTTTTTTCCAAAGAGCCGGAAGCTGAGGTAGGCGGGACAGCCATTGAGAGTAGGCAGGAGATGAGGCCTGTGTGATTTGGGTGATTCAGCAGCAGCCGAATCTCCAAATCAGATTCAGTCAAATCAATTTGGGAGAATGATTTGAATCACCGAATTGAATCACTGTCCCCTGAATTGTCTGAATCCAAATCTGAAGCGAATACTACCCACTTCACACAGGCCTACAATATGCTACATCACTGCATGGTGCTGTACAGTGACATAGCAATCACGTGCATCTACATGTAATTGCCAGTTACGTCACCATAGTGGCATGCTTCCTGGCTATAGCGCGCTGCTAGTCATGTGCTTCCCTCAATCTAAGCATGTGCCACCTGCACAGCGTAGTAACAGCCTGTACTGCACTATGCTTAGTACTTCCAAAAGGAAGTACTA